ATTTATTTCATCCACCACGTAACGTGGATTTAGGCGACCTCCAGGCGCAATCTATGTTCTTTTTACGTAATCCAAGCTTTGAGTTCAAAATCATAGATGACACTGATTTCCTTTGAATAGGTTACTAACTCTGATTATATGCTCCTGATACTTTCTAATAAACGAATTCGGCAGTTGAAAATTTACAAATTACTCAATATCTGTGATTAATTTATGAACTTTTATAATTGTATCGTATAAGCAGATCCTTCAAGAACTTTCCAATATATTTTCCGATATAAATTTATCCCTAATTAATTAATTATTAGTGATTATTGCACAGGCTGTTTGAATTCTTACCATACATACCAATAGTTTTTCATTAATTACTATTTTCTGCGTAATCAATTTATGAACTTCATGCACGCATTATATAAACGATATCCTAGGGTATGTTCACGTATCATTTTTGTTCACATTTTGCTTCTAGTTTCGTTTAGTATTAAATATTTTCACTGAAGATCGTGATGATCGTTGTTACGACATCATGTACGCAGTCAAACAATAATTAATAACTAACCAATTAGCGGTAAATTTTTCACGAAAATTGCATAAGAATGTTGCTAAAAGTTCCAGCTTTGCAATGCAATTATAAAAGTTCATAAATTAATCACGAAAATTGAGTAATTCGTTAACTTTTCACTGTCGGAGCCCTTCTATCCTTTTCTATCCCTTCTCTGTCCTTGTTTGTCACTTAACAAGCTCTTCGACGACCTCCTCGCCTATTCTGTGTTCCTATTACTTTTCTGAGTTTCGGATCCAAAATTATAGATAATAAAAATTTAACATCTTCATAAATCAATTCCGCAGTTAAAAATTAATAAATCTTTATGTTTCTGTAATTAATTCATGAATATTTATAGCCGCACAGCAAAGTTGGAATTATAGCAACATTCTTATACAATGTTTAATTTAATAATTACTACTTACATGAGCGATAGGTTTTGTATTTCCTGTATTTAATGATTATTTTCATTTTCGTTTTCTTTCTGTAGTAAATAAGATTGACATAGAAAACTGTTTTTCTTGAATAATATTCTTATTATTTTCTAATAAATATATACTTGCATAAGAAAGTGTAAAAATAAATTTTTTCATTAAGAAATTTTATTTACAATTGTTTATTTACAATGTTTTCATAGGCGCAAAATGAATACAAAATAAGAAATAGATTGAAAGAACTACTAACTATGGGCAGGAATCGAACTCCGGACCCTGATTCATAGAAATTTTCGGCTTTCCCTATTAAGCCACAACATCAATTCAAAATCATTGCCAGTAAATCTGTAGGTACAAAAATAATAAAACTTTAATCGTAAATATCTCAAAAAATATTGAGTAGTGACGGCTATAATAATATATATTCTTGAAGTGCATGACGAAATCTACAAACCAGCAAAGTTTCAACTAAATCGGTGACCCGAAGGACTTGTACTCTCCTTATTAGATCAAGAAGGTTCTCTTGAGTCACAAATTAACCTGAAGAAGAAGAAACATTCTCCAAACGATACAAGTGGTGGGGGAAACCCCTCCATCAGGGTAGCCAAAATTGGTCAGTCAAATCCCAAATGCCGTTGCCTACTTATTGTTAAAATTAGATATTAAATTACTTTTTTGTGTCTGATCGACCATCGGAACAATAAAAGTTTCTAAAAATGACAAAGTTATGAATAAAAAATTCCGAAGGTCGAATGATTTCATCATTTAGATTACAAGGCTGTTAGAAAACCACAAATGTGTCTTCTAGGCCTGATTTTTTTCCACGATGAAATACCTTGAGTGCAGAGTTACAGATTTTATGCTTGAAATAATTTTTTTCATTTTGTAAGAACGAATAGGATATTATGTTATTATACAAAGTTATATTATATAATGTCAATATTATAAATTGTATATGATATTATAGAAATTAATAAAAATATAATATTTGTTAAATATGAATATAATTTCATAACATCATATTATTCTTATAATTTGTGCAGTTATTATTCTTTTTATTATTTATGAATTTATCGTTTATAAATAAATCGAATGAAAAGAAAGAAACAAAGCTGACTAAATATAAAAATGATCAAAATGATAAAAATGATATAAATATTTTTAAGTATGAGTAAGTTGATGTGATGTAAATATATGGCGAAAACACGAAAGATATTGGAACCATTTTGGAATAGAAAATATTGAAATTCAAAAATCGAATTTTCAATTTTGAATACAAATTTTCATTATAAATTTCGATTTCGATCTTTTTCCTAAATTCAATGTTAAAAATTTTTGAATCACCTTTTGTCAATACGTTAATATAATACTATAGTTAAACAAAAATATTAAATCATTTAAATACAATATTTAAATTATGACATTTATTTATATTACTTTTATTGCTTTTGTCAATATTTTAACAGCGTACACTTTATTTAACTGTCATAATTCGAAATGTAAACGATAACAGTTTTATCAGTTGATATCGAATAAGATATTAAGAAATGTATCATTCAAGTTTTCAATTTTTAAATAACAATACAAAATGCTTTGTTTTTCACTTTTTGATAATACAAGAAGTTGGCTTAAAATTAAGAAAGAAATAAATTAAGGAAAATAGATAAATATATAAATATTGTCATTGTTCTTCTTTTGTTATACTGATTTTTTTAATTTTCCAAAATTATCGAAATGTTTTAAACATTGATTAAGTATTTTTAAACTTAAATTTTCCACTTTAAGTGATTAATTTTATAGTTATTCAAATTATCCATGTTATAAAAATAAAGTTATTATTTACTAGTCATTAAATTTTACTGTTATAATTGAAAACGTTTTATTATCATGTTATTCTAACTTACAAAAATAATATTATAATAATATTTTTTTTACAAAAATAATATTATAATAATATTTTTTTTACAAAAATAATATTATAAAGCTAAAAATATGAAACTCAAAAGTTAACAAATATATAAATATTGAACTTTATTTTTAAAAATAACTCTTTTTACCAATTCTTTTTTTCCTTTTGCTCATTATTACATATTAATGGTGCAAATATTACAGAATAATATCGTTATTTAATAAACACAGTATCTTTGTTTAACATATACAATATGTTTGTTTAACAATTTTTAGAATATCTTTATTTTTATAAAGAGATGCCGTGGACAGTCCGCCTGCGATTTAAATGAAACTTGGTACGCTTAAAAGACAGCCAAAAATAGTAAATACGTAATTTCTTTTAGTTGCTGTAACCGAAGTTTAAGGGGGCAAATCATCTCCCAAAGGTCGACCACCCAAGAGCTAAGTCGGAAACGATAAGAAATAACAAAAAATTCCTTTATCAAAAATTGTATGGTTTTTTGACATGTTAAAACAAAGTACAAAAGTTAACAAAAAATATTTAACAATATTTATAAAAACTAAAACGTTAATAACAACATCAGCAACAATAATTTGAATATAAATTTTAAATCGACATGTCATTCAATGTAACCAACAAACATGTTAATTACAAACACATAGATAATTATATGAAAAAAGCATATAAACTTCCGCAATCAATTACTATGTAAATTGAAAATTTTATTCGAATTTCTAAGTAATATCGCAATTGGCATTCTCAGAGATCAAATGACATACTGATAATACCATATATTTTGTAATTTAAGCCTTTATATTCATTATGTTCAATTTTCAATTATAGATTCTTTTAATTTAGTTTAGTTCAAGTGATACAATTTATGGCACGAGCTATTTTATTGCAAGATGAAGAAATATCAAAAAATTTCGAAAAATAGGAAATTGTTAAACAAAAGAAAGATTAAAAAATATGTGAGGAGATAAGAATTTGGAATTTCGGTCAAGAAATATTTAATCCTTCATCGATAGAGACATCTGTTTCAATTAGAGAAAAAATTCCAGTCTACCCAGTACGTGGAAGCAGTTTATATGGCGTATGAATTTTGTCGTTGAAGGGTCGATATATTTTATACAAAATGATAACCCCTTGAAGGGTTAATCCATTGTCGATATACTTTATGCAAGATGATTCCCTTTTTAATTAATCCAATGCGTTATAAATTACACAATAAAAGATAACGTTGCGTCGATATGTTTGTTTATAACTTTCAAACAGAAATGGATATCATTTAAGTGACAATTAGTGTTAACTAGTTTTATTTATATTTTTGATATATAATATGTAGATGAAAATTGTAATTATTTGGGAATGAGTATAGTGAATTTTCAAAATTGTAACATTTTTCACCTATTACTACATTAAAAATATGTCAAGAAATAACAAAATGTAACTAATTAATGAAATTGAAAAAGGTAATAAACTATTTATTTAGCAATAGACATTACTAACAACCATCTAGGAACATATAATAAAACACATTACTATCTTGCACATTCATTTTTTAATTTTACTAAAAGCTCAATTAATTTTATTTTATTAAATGATTACAAATATTTAATTTATAATAACAAATTAAGAATGTTATATAACATTAATAGTTTTTCTTTGATTAATTAATTATTGTTTATGATTATGATTCTATGCTTATTTTCAATAATAAATTAAAGAGGTAATTACAAAGTATCAGTCGTTACTTTAAATCAAAATATTTGAAATATTTAAATATATTTAAAATATATATTTAAATATATTTAAATATTTCAAATACTTCAAAATATTTTAAATCATTTATTTTGTACAAAAATTATTATTAAAATAACTTTTCATATTTCTTTATAGAAGGAAAAAACAATACGATGTGCAATACCTGTAAATCATTGTACAATTATGAACACATAATATATACTCAACTACAAAGTAAACTATTACATTAATTGTAACATAATATATAGGGAGTATAAGTTTTTAAATAAACATTTGAAACTATTTTTTTATGAATTAATGTAAATTACTTGATGATTTCTAACTTTTATATTATTTTATAGATCATTATACATAACCGATATCATTTTTAAAACAATTTCTTATTCCTTTTAATTCAAATTTATGTATCAGTAAAATTATTTATCTTTACCCCAGTCTTCAGAGATATACTTCAATAAATCTGTGAGGTTTTCAAATTCTGTTCTACTCTGAGGAGGATCATTTTTTGGTATTCTTGGTAAAATATTACCAACTTTTAATCGAAACTCCTCTGCAGTTTTAGCTCCAGAAAGCTTCCAAATTCCATAAAAAAGTATTGTACAACCACTAACTGCCCACACTGAACCCCAAAACAAAGCTCTTGTCGCAAGTGCTACACCAGACTCTTGCAAACCTTTCCCTCCTATAAATCCAGCATCAAAACTTTTGGTATCTTTTTTTTTAGCTGCCGCTAAAGCATTAAAAAAACCAAGTAAGGTAGAAATTCCAGCTAATCCACCTAGCATCAATGCTCCTGAAATGAAAATGGATAATATATTTTTTAATGTAATTTAATTTCTGTGACGTAAATCCTTAATAACTCTTTGCCTTTTAATTTCTGTGTAAAGTAGTTAAAAGAGCAGTTTGCTGTTATGAAGCAATATATATAAATATTTACATAGAATATATAATTTTTATTTAATAATCACCACTATGGATGGAAATTGACTTTGCCTACCTTTTCTTCCTATAAAAGTCTATGATCTCTAATATGAGTATGATATGATGTTATAAGGCAAGGAGTTAAAAAAAGGTAATATAATAACATGAAGTAACATTATAGTTATAATACATTTTTTTGTTGTAAATTAGAAAATTAAGGTTATGTATACAGGTTATGTATGATTTAGAAATTTATAACTTCGTAATATAAAATTAGGCGAATTTACTTAGATTTATTTTCTCTAAACTAAGCTTGAATTTATTGCATATCATTTTTACATATTATATTATTGAAAACAAACAAAAACTAAATAATTTAGTATGTAAAAACACATTCATATTTTATATTTAAATTCGTATCTATTGAAATAAAAAAAGGTTTCAATTTAGTAATAAAATAATTACATATAATAAGTTTAAAAACATATCTACCATACAAATTTTTTCTGTCTTTATTTTTGTTTACGTCTGACATGGTTATTTTATATTATGTTATTTCTCATTCATTATTAAAATAAACGTTTTCGAGAAAAGTTTGAAGAAGGTCTACATAAAACAAAGTATAATATTGTTGCCATATTGTTTTGTTAGCAATTATTACACGACCATAATTCTTAATAGATCAAAACATTTATAATTTTTGTTCAATAACTGTGCTCTTATACATTAAAATGTAACAAATAAAAAAAATTATTATTCATATTGTTCAAATAGTAATAATTTTTAAAACTTTTATCACTTTTTCATAATAAATTAGTAATGATTAATAATATTAATTATAGCAATAATATTGCTATACAATATCATTATTTAATAGTTAAAATTTTTTAATATATTTTGTATTCGATTACGTTTGTAAAATTTTTAACGTATAGTATTTTCTTCACTTCACTGCCGTTGCCAATATAAGAAATCTTTACACTAAATTTAAAAATCTTTTTTATGAACATCAAATAAACAACATCATTTAGCATTTATAATTCACGAAATACTAAAATTGATATTAATGTAGACGTATATCATTTAAATCTTATTTTTTTTTATATAGGATTTGTCAGTACCATTACTACTTTATTGATAGCATGTGAAATTGCATTAAGATTCCTCTAGTTATTTTGCTATAGAAAAATTTAACTTTCTTATCTAATGATTCATAATTTATGGAAGATTCTTTAAAGATGTTTTTTTCTCGTTAATAAATTTTATTACTAATTTTGAAAGAAAGTTTCATTTTTATAAAATTCGAAATTAAAATAAGAAAAATGATGGAAGGTAGTGTAATAAAAGATATATCAAATATGTTATAATCAACAACGAAGTTCAGTTAATTCTTAGTAATTTTTAATAGATATTATATGTCATACTGACATTATTTTGTCTTTTTCTTAAATCATTACTTTGTTATTTCGAAAAAAAACTCTTAAAAAGTATAAAAAATTTATATGAAATATATCTTCAAATAAGGAATATTTTAATCCTAGTTTGTGAGAAACAATTTAAAAAAAATAGTAGAAATTTTGTGAAAATGCATGTTAGATGTTTAATTATTGAAAGTGAATACCAAATACTTCTATGAAATTTATGTTAAATAAATTTTATATATTCTGTGCAGTGTACACTGTTCATGATGTAAAAGATGTGTAATATTGTCTTGTGTTTAAAAATTAAACATTATAAATTAAATTTACACAGAAATAGATGTTTTTATCATATATTTGTTTCTTGTATATTATATTTATAATATATTAAATAAACTATTTGTATAAATGTGATGCTGTTTAATATAAATTATTTCAAGTTAGAGATTTATGTTTATATATACACATATATGTACATATATATTTAGTTCCTTAATATTTTATATAACTATTTTAGGTGAATTGAAGCACAACATTGATAAATTAGTTGAAGAATTGCGGTTTGTTGTCAAATCTGAAAAAGAGATTGAAGATATCATCCAGGTGTTAGATTCCATTGTTAATGTTAGCAAAACTTCCATCGGAGGTATTAATTCTGTTTTATAATTTTATTTGAATTAAAATTTAAATTAATTTTTGAAGAATGTAAAATATATATTTTTTATAAAATATAGTATTTATTAATATCGTTTTATATTATTAAGATAAATTTATAACAGATACTAGAAAATTAAAGATATTATTCTATAATTTGCATATATCTTAATAGATAAATTTTATTTGTTTTTAGAAGCTACTGAATTTACAATAGATGATGTTTTTCTAACTTTATTACATCATGAATCTAAAGAAATTATTGCAAAGACTGCTAAAGCAATTGCTGAGATTGCAAAAAGTGAAAGAGGAAGAGAAAAATGCACCAGTACAGATTTAGTAAATGCATTAATAGATCTCTTGAAAGAGGATCGTGTTGATGTATTGACGCAGACTTCTCGAGCTTTGGGAAATATTTGTTACGAGAATGGTAGGGAGCTTTAATCCCTAATGACCCAAATTTTGTTCATGTATGTAGTTAACATTAAAATCACCTTAATATAATATGATATCACTAGAGATAGTAGCATAAATGGTTTTATTAATTGTTATGTGTTAAATATTATTTTTTAAGTAAAATATTATTAAAACATTACTGCAAAAGGGAAAAAATATAAGAAAGCAATATAATTGATTTCTATTAAAAATTTAATTTTGAAAATTAAAGTTATGACAACTAAGTCCTGATATAACTATATATTATTCATTAAATATCAATTAACTACTGAAACTACTAAACTACTAAACTTCTGGACTACTATACTACTGCACTATTAAATTACTAAATTATAGTTCTTAATACACTAAACATTTTTAATACATTAAAAATTCGTATTATTGCTATTAGACACTCTTACATTGTACAATATATTTGGTTTTTATTATGTGGAAAAATACTAGTTCAAATATTATAAAAACTATTTTTATCATAATTATTTATTGTAATATAATAATAACTGTGAAGCTGTAAAAATGAAGAAACAAATATTATAGGTATTGCACAGTAATTAATTTTTATATTAATATAAATTAATTTTTAAATTAATACATTAATAATATAAATTATGTTTAATATTTTTTAATAAGTTTCACTCACAATATTATTATAGAAAATGGTAAGAAATTTGTTGAAGATAAAAATGGGTTGATGTCAATTCTGGCAGTATTGGATAAAAGTGTTGCATTGAAAGATGTAGAAGGTGCACCATTTCTTCGTAATGTTGCTGCAGGACTTTTACTAAACTTTCTTATTGATCAACCATCTCTTCATACAGAAGTATAATATTTTTATTACTGCATTTTTCTTATATTATTATATCATGTGTCAGTTAGTGTAGCTAGTATGTTAAAAAATAATTTATACTGTATACTTCAGATGTATTATACATGTAGTATATAATACATACAAATTTTGTTTAAATTAATTATAACACAAGATTGTGAACATAAAATTTTTAAAATGACAACATATATGAAAAGTAATATATTAATCCGTAGGTACATTTTTTTAGGCATTACAGCAAAAAATAGTACCTATCATCTGCAGTATTTTGGAAATTGATGGAACTGCCGGTGGAGAGGCTGCAATGCATTCTCTTTTAATACTAGGAATACTAAATGATGCTAATATAATATTTTTAAATGAAAGACTTACAAAAATTTTAGTAGATGTATTGTCCACTGATGCATCATCAGAACTTTCTGAAATGTGTTTAGAACTTCTTCATGGACAGGCAGAAGATGGTAACTTTATAATTCTAAAAGTGCAGCAATTGATATTCTAAGTTGTTAAATCTCAAATAATTAATTTACATAAGCATAATGTTAATAAATTTTATATACAGTTAACTTAATTATTTACAATAATGCTTTAAAATATATTCTCTACAAAAATTAATATTATTTAAATTGATATTTTAGAAAATGCAAAATCATTACTTGCTAAAGCAGGTGTTTGTGAATTATTGTTAAAGTTGTTGGAAAAACATAGTCCATATTGTACAGATGAAGAAACTAGGTCTGTTTTGAAGATTGCTTGTAACTTAATAGTTCTTATATTAACTGGAGGTATGTTAGAAAAAAGAAAAGAATATAGATACCGTAATTGTAATTTATAATTTATTTTTAATACAATATTTTAGATGACAGTATGATTAGTCTATATGATAAAAGTAATGGTGTCACATATAAAAAGTTAGTTGAGTGGCTTGAAAGCAAAGACAAAGATTTACAAATTACAGCTGTATTAGCAATGGGCAATTTTGCACGTTCTGATATTCATTGCAAACTTATGGTTACACAAGGTGTTCATCGAGACCTTCTAAAACTACTACAAAGCAATAATACAAACTTTGGTGATATAAGATTTCAACATGCTTTACTCAGTGCATTGAGAAATCTTGTTATTCCACAGGATAATAAACCTATAATTTTAAAAGATGGATTGATAGATGTTTTATATTCTATGTTGGATATTCCATTATATCCAGTTGTATTTAAATTACTGGGTACTTTAAGGATTGTTATTGATGGTCAAAGTATGTACACAGTAGCTTTTTTAAATACATAGAGAATATTTATATTTTGTTGGAATTAATTGATAAGTAAAATATGAAAAACAAATAATTTATTTGTTGTTATAGGTGAAGCTGCTATAGAGCTGGGAAAAAGAAATGGTTTAATAAAAAAGGTTATTGATTGGTGTGAAGTTGAAGAACACCCTGGAGTTCAGGGTGAAGCAAATCGTTTGATTGCTTGGTTAATTAACAATAGCAGGTTGATTAGTTTTAATAAATACATATTTGCAGAATTTACATTCATATCATAATCATTCATATGTTTAAATTCTAGTATATAATATAATATTTTTATAAGACATAAGTTACAATAACTGAAAAAATTAATTATTAATATTTATGTTTCTTTTTAATTAGAACTAAAGAAATAGCCCTTCTGGTAATAGAACATGGAGCTTTGAAACATCTAGCTAAAATGTTAACAGCATCACATATTTTAATGCTAAATGAAGCTTTAATTAGCTTAATGATATTAACCACAACTTCTTTGACTGAATGTGAAGATCTTCTTCTTGATGTTGATATTGGTGAAAAACTTTGCAGAGTTTTCAATCCTGCAATTAATTTGGAAGTACCAATATTACATAATATTTTATCTCTAATAGATAATATTATTAATTCAGGTATTTAAAATTTATTATTATTGAATAGTATAAAGTATTTCGAAAAATATTGAATAATATTTAATTTTAAATTAAAAACATGTAAAATAAAAGAATTCGAAAAATTCATGTAATTCAATTCTATTTTTTAATATATTATAAATATGTCTATTAATTTAATAAATTTTTAAAGATTTTAATATTTACAATTAAAGAAACAATGAATTTATGACATTATATTAAAATTTATATTAAATTTAAATTTCAGATGCATTAAAAGAACATCTGCGAAAAACTAATTTAATAGCTCTATGCGAAGAAACAAAGCTAATCAAACTAGAATCACAACTTAACGAAAAATGGCAAAAGATTCGCGAAAAAATTGTATAATTAAATATTGAAAAAGATATGTATTACAATCGTACAATTTTTTATATGATATAAGCATTAAAATTACAAAACATTTTTTAATTAGGAAAAAATGATTTTTTCTATTCTTGTTTAATAACTTCCATTAATGTAGTAACAATAATCAAAATAATGTACATTTAACATAAATATGCAGTTTATGAGCCTATCATGCTTATCAGAGTCTTATAAATTTTTTTATTACTGATATTTTTTCTAAATAGATAAATAAATAAATAAACATATACACATACAAGTATGAAATTGCTTTATATTAAAAGTAATGATTTTTAAATAAATTTATGTCCATGATTATAAAAAGCAGGAAATTGTGAAGATGATACAATTAATAAAAATAATAATATTACATGAAAAATTATTTTTTAAAATTAACTTTGTTATTTGTTGAAATATAAAAAATATTCATTAATATAGGACTACTGATTTATTAAATAACTAATATGAATGTTATTAATTGATTGTTATATGTATCCATTATATGAATTATTAGCTACTTATTTTAAATGAGATAATTTACTATAAAGAAAGAAAAAAATAATTATAAAAATTTCTGAACATAAAAAATGTATATAGCTTTAAGAAGTCGACCAAACAGTATATTTTATGTGATCAATTGTGACATTAATATAAAAATAAACCCATAAATTGCAGTCACAAATAACTATATAATTTCTACCAATTTTGTTATTTTTAGACATATAACTATTTTATAGTGAATCGTTATTGATGAATCTTAATTTAAGTACATTGTTTAAATAAGATTAATAAAGTATTTACTCTTTAATATTGCTATTAGGTATATATCTATACTAAACACTTTAACAAAAAATGCAATACAAATTTTAAGACAAGTAATTGTTTTAATTTATACATATGTAACATTCTCCAATCTGTAAACAATAATAAACTTAGATCTAGAAAATAATTGTACTATAAAATTACTAAATTATAAAAGATAGTAATTTGATTTGTATGCTTTCAATTTGATAACTAAGATTAAATAAATGTCTTTATGAAAATATTATAATTTAATGAAAACGAATTATTTAGAATGATAATTAGTAATATTTTTAAATTTTGTTTACTATATTATATTACATTAATTGTTCATGTAATTATATATAAATATACATGTACAATGTATAATGTATATTATACATCAATGATTTCAAGTATGTGGTTCGCGATCAGTCCACTGAGCGAAAATGGCGCCTCAATCAACTGGGCTGCCACGTAATGTTGTGTGTCGCGTCGACGAGGTACGTCTCTTCGACAATTAACGGCGAATTACACCGTAAAAAGTGCAATGCACGTCTCATGGTGCAGTGAAGTCTAAACTTTCCTTCATTTTCGTCGTGGTAACCTCGTCCAAAAGGTGAGAAACTTTCCTTGTGCTAAAAAAGTTGAAGAAAAGCTTAGGCTTCATGGTATCTCCACTTGAACATGACGTTTTAACCTTTCGATCTTTCCCTGGTCTCTTGATCTCTGAAAATTTCTGTAGACATTCTGTTTTTCTTTTACCAATCCGAAATCGTAAGTCACAAATTTTAGTACTTTTTTTTTATTCGAATTCCAATCTGATGTGCAATTATGTATATACCTCTCAAATGACAAAGCTGTTGCATTTCATTGGTATTTTATTTACTGTCTTATTATTTTTTTGTCCTGTCGATTTTTGTGTTGTTTTATTATTTTTGTCCTATAATTCATCATAATGTTGTGTTACTATTTTTGTTAACTTCATTCGATTTTTGTTGTTTTTTAATAACATAATTCTATAGTTTTATGATATTTGATTTATATGAAAACTTTATTTTGTGATTTCACTTTATTTAATTGATATGATTAAGCTGCATTAAAATTACGTTCGATTGCAGCATTATTATATTTGTATTATTCATACCACACAATTTTAACATTCAATTTGTTTATTTGTTATTTTTATTTTGATGTCGAAATTTCATGTTTTATTATGTATTTTGACTTATAATAAAATGTATCATATTAATGAAACTATTTTCTAATATTATAATGTCGATATTATTAAATACAATTTATTTATAACTTTATCATATACTTATTATAATTATTTATTATTTATGTATACTTTTTTAAAATAATATTTTACTCTTGATTTTTACTTCTGTTGTGCTTTAATTATGTATTTATGTTAATGAAATGTTTATTCTATGCATATGCATAAGAAAAAATAATATTGTTACTTATTTAGATTTTTGATTAAATTATTATACTAAGAACTTAACAGTAATATACACTTTTTTTTTGTTAGAACTATAAATAAATATTACATCAATATATTAATTGTACGAATGCATACAAAATATATAATAAATAAAAGATTTAATAAATATAAAATATATTTTATCTTCAGATGA